TATACCTGTCAGGTTGTCTTGGTAGTAGGCTGAAGATGGGACATGTGCTCTCTCGGGCCTGGGCGAGTTACGTCACGGCGCACAGGAGTGCGCAGTGGCTCCTGGGGTTTTTACATTTTTTTACCCAGGTTTTAGCCCAGGTAAGGCCGGCCTCTTGAGGTTTAACGGCGCCTGCTTGTTCCGCCTGCGGAATAAAAGCCAGAGATTTGAGCTGGTTTGTAGTCAACGGTCTATGGATAGATAGCTAACGAAGGTATCGGGAGCATCCATTGTGAGGTGCAACGTTGGAATTGATGACCCCCGGATGTCGAGTCGTATACGAACTGAGGGAGCGATCGTTTAACTTGTATGTTGTATTACTGTAGTTCCCACGGTTAGGAGGATGTACGCGACCTACGATTCCAAAAATACCACCCACTCACTCACTCACTCACTCACTCAGCTCTCAGGCCTTGTTGAACTCGAGAACAGTGTTGCGCTAGCTTCGGAGTTCCTTTCTGTCTCCATGGAGACAACATATGAAGTCATAAACAGTCCTCAAAAAGCTCCCCCGCCTGTAAGTGCTAATCAAACGGTGATGTTGCATCCAGTGCCACTGCAGTCACGTAGGGTTCTGTGAATAAAGCCTGGCGAAGTTACAATGTGAGAAAGTCGTGCTAATAACACTGCTAATAACATGTTATTAACATGGGGTTCGGGAGGGGGTGATTTTGGCGTGTGTAAAAGTGTGATTAATGCGCACACCATCGGGGGACTGGCAGACCCTCGGACAACTCTGTCTCGATGTCAACTGCGTCGTAGGCTCGAAACCCGCGCAGCAGAGAAATGTTTTGAGTCAGAACGGCGTGCGCATATCCATGCGCACGCCGTTCTGACCCTCGAGGATCGGGTGCCTTGCCCTTCATGTTGAAAACACCCAGATCTTTACTCACATTGTGATTAAGGTTTTATTCACGTGTTATAAACACTTTGTCACAGAGTGTTAATAACATGTTAATAACACCTGTTCAAAAGTCGTCCGAGGGCCAACGAGGGCCAAATGTTAATAACATTTGTGAGAAAGTGCCCCGGGACTTTCTCAGAGAACCTTATGCCAGTGGCTCGTCTTGCGGTGGCTCACTATGCGTACAGATCACAGCGGAACAACGCCCTTACCTATATGACGACATCCTATTGCACATCCTTGACTTCGCCACCAAAGGTGTAGTCGGCACTCTCATGCAGACGTGCCGCATGTTCCACGAGCGCGGTACAAATTACCTCCTCCAGGACGGCGTCTTCCTCGCGACCAACAAGCAGATCCTGTCGTTCATGCTCTTCATCGTCGGCAACAGCGGCGACGACTTGCGGCCGCGTATCTTACGTCTTCGCCAGTTGACATTGTCCAGACAACGACGTCTCGACGATACAACAGACTCCGACCCAGGGCCTTCTTCAGAAGAGACCGGGATCTTCCTCCATGGGTTCTTCAAAGCCATCGCCTCCTTCGGCTGCTTGATCCGATTGACTCTCTACGACTGCGAGGAGCTCCTGGGCCTGCATCCCGAGCTCCCAGAGGCCATCGCCGGGCTCCGCACGATCATCCAGCTCAGTGTCTCCTTCGCGGGCGCCCGCACCGTACGGATGCTCAAAGCGCTCCGCTCCACGCTCTTCTACGCCGACATCAGCATCGAGTCCGAAGCGGGGGACAACGAGAGCGAGCTCCTCTTCGACGACCAGAACCCCATGTTCCTCCTGCACGGCTCCCAGCACACCCTGCGCCAGCTCTCCACGACCTTCTCCACCAGCGCCCCCGACAGCCCCGTGTTCCCGCGCGTCACCGCGCTAAACCTCAGCTACACGGACATCCCGCGCACGCAGCATTACGTGCGTGCGTTCCCCGCCCTGCGCGTGCTCACGACGGACGACTGTTGCGGGTGGGGCGACGGCGACGACTACGACGCGCAGCGCTCGCGGAACCAGCGCGAGCAGGACCGCATGGGGACGTGGCCCGCGCTGCAGAGCTTCCGCGGGTCCGTCATATGCCTGTACCTCCTCGGGCTGCGCTGCCCCGTCGGCGCGCTGGAGCTCGACCATGAGGAGGAGACGCTGGACCCGACTATGCTGCATGCGGTGCTGGGGGATGCGCGCCCGCAGCGGCTGCAGCTGCGCATCGATGGCGGGGAGTGGCTGGTCGACTCCGACTTTTTGGAGACGTTCGCGCAACCCGGCGTACAGGGGCTCAAGCGGTTCGAGCTCTTCGTCAACCTGCAACGGGAGGACCGAGATATGGACATTTCTGCTGCTTTGGTAGGTCCACGCCTCTCTGTCTCAGTAATCCGCCGTGCAGTGCTCAATTAGCGGCACAGGACCCGGTCGTGCTGGCTTCGCGCATCGTCTCGCCGCTGAAGAATCTCGTCGAGTTCAGGTTTTGCTTGGACTGCTCGTCTATCAAACGCATCGCTTATGGAGCGGATCCGGCCGAAGAGAATCCGCTTGAGCCGGTCGAGGAGGCCTTGGAAGGGTGGGATGTCGATGAATTCGCACACCGCATGCAGCGGGAGCTAAGCGTGTCCGCGAAGCTCCAGTCAACTACTGTATCCATCCAGGGCCACCGGACACGGAGTGCGGAGACATTCACGGTCGGCGAGACATTGTCTCTCGATGACGACCCGGGCGACGATGAAGATAGCAGCGAATGAAGTAATGAAAAAACGTAGGGCTATCCTTTAGGCAGCGAGCGTAGAGACTCTGTACGCATAGACACTTCTGTCCTCTCAAACGCCTGATAGAAGTACTATGCTCTCTCATCTGCACTGAGCGTCGACTTTGTGTAAATTCAAGAGAGCCCAGCAGAGTTCCCCCAAGAGGATCGCACCATAGCGCACAACACACCAGGACGATGAACAAAAGCATGCGCCCGCAAAAAGGCTGGCTTCGTTACTCGTGACTACTCCTCGTAATACAGTTCGTGATCGTGAAAGGTCGTTAAAAAAGCACTACTACATATTCTCACACAAGGGCCCGCAAGGTCTACCGGCAGGCCCGCGTCCGTCGTTTCTCGCGCATGTCTGCTCAGGCGAACGCGCTGCCCTTGACCGTCGAGATCCACGTCTTGTCCGCGTGCGGGAACTGGAACGCCATGACGCCGGCGTTCCAGCCGCCCTTGACCGCGGTCTGGATGCACGTGTTGAGCGTGGCGGGGTCGATGAAGCCGCCGTTCGTGATGTCGGCCGTCGTGCCCGGCTTGCCGATGACGAGCTTGTTGATGTCGACGCCCGACTTCTGGATCGCGAAGATGGAGGAGGGCGTGCTGTTCAGGAGCGTGTCGCAGTCGTCGTACCCGGGGGAGGGCGATTCTGCGAGAGAGCATGTTAGGACGGTGAATTTATGATGTACGATCCAGGAGACTCACGGTTGTAGAACTGGATGTTGTACTGTGGATGGGATATAATGAGTACAGATCACAGCGCAATGGCAGAAATCAGTACGCACCCAATCAATCAGTGCACCGACGTTCTTGTCAACCGTGAGGTAGCAACCCCCCGGGCAGAAGCCAGGCGAGAACCAGGGACCAACAGCTACATTTCGCCCCAGTCAGCTCATTCGCACCCTCATCCCGCCAACGACGACACTCACGAGCATGACTCAAAATGAACTGTCCCTGCGGCAGCTGCTGGCGCAGGACCTGCGTCAGCGTCGTCAGCCACGCCTCCCCAACGCCCGACTGTGCGGTGACGAGCTCGAATTCCTCGTAGTCGATATCAATCCCGTCCAGGTTCGTGTTCAGCACGAACTGCGCGAGGTTATTCGCGACCGCCGTCGGGTCCTGCGACGTCGGGTGCTCCGTCTCGCCGAATGCGGACACCACGAGCGACACGCCCGCGGCATTATATTGCTGCTTGAGCGTCGCGCGCTGGTCTGCGGGGAGCGCGGCCCACTTTGCGGCCTGGTCGGCGGGCCCAGACGTGAGCAGGAAGGCGAGGTTGCTGTGCGAACGGCGGTCAGTATCGCGCACTAGGGGTTGAGAGCGTCGGGAAACCTACACAACGTTGAAGCCCGTGATCTGGTCGAGCGGCGGCAGGACGCTGCCGCTGATCGCCTGGTCGGTGTACACGACGAACTTGGGCCCAGAGGGGATCTGGTTGGCACGACGGGCGTGGGGCGCGGCGTAGCCGACACCCAGGGCAGCCAGCGCCGAGCAAAGAGTGAAAAGACGCGAGAAAGACGTGGAGAACATCCCTAAACCAGAGGGTGAAGTAGAGTGAAAGCGAAATGTAAAAGGGGGCGGAGGAGTAGAAGACGAAGTACCGACCAAGCGGGGTGAGGATTCATTGCCGTTTAGTCCTCCTCTTTATACTCGCGACATGTTGACGTTGGCGCTCCTGGGCCCGCGGCGTAGGTGACGGACGGCGCACAGCGGTTTGCTGTCGGCGTCAGCGTCGCCGGGCTGCCACCCAGTGCTAGTGATGGGTCGCATCTCGGGCGGACCGCCTTTGACGTCTTTCAACGCGCTCCATTCTCGCCGGACATTCCTTAAACGATCAGACCGCTGCGTTGTGCTACACTTGAGCGGCGCGAGCTGATGTATTCAAATGCTGAGCGCCATTCACTCCGAGTGGGACCTCCAGGACCCGGCTAGCGAGGTTCGTGATTAGCACTGTGGATGAAGGCACGCTAGAAGATCTTACATTTGCAACCTGACGGTCTATCGCATGAACATCAACGGATGCATACGTTGGCTCCAAAGTATCACCGTTAGGAACTACCCACGGATGTTGTTCCGAGAAGACAGCCGCACCGCCACCACACGGTCTGGCGCCAGTACGTCTTGTCTTGAACCCGTGTCATTGGATGACAGCTTGGTGCTCTGTACGACAGAGGGCGCGAACACACCGGCACGAAGTGCCCATGCAGCCTGCAAGAAGGCCGTAACATACGCAAAACATGTTGCACGGACGCGCCATCCGCCGATACCACCACACACGGCGCGCCGTGGCAGCTCTTCTGATCAGCGTCAGGACAATCTCACGCCCCAAGAAGTCCGAGCTTCATCCCATCTCACATTCCGCGCCGACACGTCCGCCTTCTGACAGCGGCAGAGCTGCGTCGGGCGGCGACGCCTGTTCGACGCACGCCCTCACTGGAGCCGACGATGAGCGCACCAACCAAACATGATGCATCGGCGGCTCTGAACCTCATAGCCCGGCCGTTGCGCGAGGACCGCCCCAGCACAGCGCGCTCCGGCTCGCGGTGTGGAAGCAGTTGATTCGGCTTGGGTTTCTCGACCAACTCTGCGGAAACGATGCTTAGTGCACGATCATGTTCAGGACATCATACAACCCGCTTACCACCTCCTGACTACCTAACTTGACCGTGTACGAACTCGCAGCAGTGATATGCAACAAACCATCATGCGTTACACACTACTCCATACAATGACATCCTTTCCTGTACACGTTTCGCTTCTACACCCCGCCCCAGCACGGAATCCGCGGCCCGCCTAGACGAGCGGGCGCGTCCGGTACAGCAGCACGTACGCGGAGGCGTCCTGCCCGCCGCCGGAAAGCGTCTCGAGCTTCTCCGCAGGGAAGATGGACACCTTGTCGTCGTCGAACTTGTACCAGTCCTCGTCGTCCTCGTCCGGGACCGCGCCCGATGCCGCGCCTGGCGCGAGCGGCGACGCGTGCAGCGCGCGCTTCTTCACGAAGCCGATGTAGTGCCCGGCGTCCGCCTCGGCACCCTTGTGCGTGACGATTCCTGCGGAGCGCGCGGTTAGAGCTTGTTGCATAAAGATGGTAAGAACTAGGCAACTCACCGACGAGCTCGTACTGCCCTGTTGTGCTCGCGCCCACATCTGCCTTGATATCAGCGTGCAGCAGCGCCTCCAGCTCCTTGCCTTCCCGCTCGCGGTATACGCTCTCCTCCTCGAGGTCTACAACAGCAACAGCCTTGCCCTTGTCTTCGCCCTCTGCGGCTGGCGCAGCAGCATCGCCGCTTGACGAGGAGGCTTCAGGTGCGTCGGCGTCGGCCATCTGCACATCGCCTTCCTTGTCCTTGACGGGCAGGGCAGCCTTCGTGCGTTTGCGGACCTTGCGGCGCTCCGAACGCTCCTTCTCGAACTCCTTCAACTTCCGCGAGATGGGGAGCAGCTTCTCCTTGAGCTCGGGGGTGGCAATATCCAGAGCGTCGTACTCGGCGGGGAACTTCACGCGACGCATGATCTTCGCCTTCTTCCCGATGTCGCGCTTCCACGCGAAACGCACCATATGGACAGTGAGGTACGATGGAAGGCGCGACAACCGTGAGGTTGAGGTGTACACCGCTTCGCGGCCCAAGGTCTCTGACTGTTTCTCGATTTTGCCATCCAGTGCCTGGTTTCCTTCTTAAGTACGCCTGAATGCCCTGCGTAATGAAAAAACGCACCTCCATAATGCCCTGTTGCATGTAGTTGACAGCGTTCGAGATGTTACATGATACTTTGAGGACCTTCTCGAAAGAGACCGACTCCGGTTCGTCTGTCGTCTCGTCGCACTTCAATCTAGCTTTGTCATAAGAATCACGAACCCCAGCCCTCGCACGAAAGTGAGACTCACACTCTTCGTAGCTCGCCAGTCATGTACTGCTCAACGAACTTAGCCGACGCATTCGAGCCTGAAGGGCCGGGAATCCCCGGGACGTCCTTCAATGAATTTGTGATCTGGACCCAGCACTCCTCCGCATCTTGCACGCTCTGTGAGCAACAGCACTAGTGGTGAAATTATAGCTTGCATTACCTTGCTGTGCGAAGCCGCCGCCCATGAGTGCCTTAATCCCCGATGCCCGCGTTTGTTCTGCAAACTGAGGGAACGCTTGCCGGAGAGCAGCAACGAAATTGCTCGGCGTAACGCTGTCTGTAGTCTTTGACATGTTGGTGTAGAGGTTGCGCAGAGCCATAGGGAGTCCAGTGGGTGTAGAGCTATGATGTCCGGATATGAGCGCTACTGAGTATGAAACCGAGCGAGACAAGGCATACTTTTGCAGGGCGACCTGAAGTTCAGGTATCGCACGCATGGCTTGGAGCGTAGCGTTCATGTAACAAGTGTTACCCAAGTTCACAAGACCGACAGGCATGGCAAGCTGTTCGAAGAGATCAGCATGCATGGGGAGATAAATTCGTGTGCTGAGCTTACAGCTTCTGCCAAGGCGGTTTCGTCCATGTCTGTCCATAAATCGGTCAGTTGATCTTCGGGAAGCCTGCAGACGCGTCTGTTCTCACCTTCCAAGAACTGAATGGGCGTTGACGGGGGCTTGGGTAGCTCTCCCGCAGCCCCGATCACCATGAACGTCTGGCCCTGTCCACGAAGCGTGAATTTAACATTTGCATTCGTACTTCGCTATTCAGTCGCCTACTCACGTCTTTGGGAGCAACCTTTCTCCAATCTGTGTCATCCTACATAAGTGTGAGCCACCTGGACGTCGCGACTGTTTGCGACAGACTGACCTTCAAAACACCACCCTTGATCATAACCTTCATCCGATCCGGCGGTACGCCGGTCAACTGGTACACGGCATCTTTGAAGACCGTGGCTGGCTGGTCGGGGTCAAGAGGGAGTTCATGGACCTTTCCGGCGTGTTTGATTTTGACAGTGAGAGGAGCCATGGCTGCAGTGGTGGAGGTAGAGAAGAGAGATGAGAAATGGAGTCTGACGCGTCTGCGTACGCGTACGCGCGCGCAAAGTAGATCTCGACGAGATCTCGATTACAAATCACCTCTTTGGGGCAGACCGACCGCCGGGCCGGCCGAGGGGATGACGTCGTGGCCGTCGACGTGTGCGGTGCGCCTGCCAGGGTGGTGCGCAGTGCCTGCAGCGCGCACGCTAAAACTCTCGCCTCTCTTCCACGTACCACTACCTCCTCCTCGACCTCGACCTTCTCACATCCACCCCTCTGTCTCAAAAACAGTCCTCAAGATGACCGTGTAGTGCGTACTAAGCTCGGCGATGCTTTTCCTGGTTGTTGACGTTGTGTTCTGTCGCCTCAATCAGCTACACCCTCACGTTCATGCTCCTCGCGTCCGAGATGGTCACGTTCTGTGTCCTCGTCGCACCGCTCCCCCACGTCGTCCGCAAGAAGCTCTTCCACTTTCTTTCAGAAAGCCCAATAATCGCCAAGCTCGCCTACGGTGTAAAGATCGCGTTCATGTCAGTCCTACTCCCTACCGCAACTCTGATTGGTCGTCTGACACGCGCCGATTCTCTAGCTTCATCGCCATCCTCTTCGTCGACGCGGTACAGCGCATGATGCGCGTCACCGCGGAGGCCGACCTCGCCAAGTCTAACGGCGCAGGCGCAGGCGACATCCGCACAGAAACCAACGTGGCCGCCCGCAAGTTCTAGTGCGTCACGCGCGCCCGTTCTGGCGCACTGCTTGCTGAACGTGATTGTCGTGTAGCGCGCAGAGGAATACCTACCTCACGGGTTTCTGCCTGTTCCTGTCCCTTGTCCTCACTCGCACGTTCTACATCCTGCTTGACCTCGTCCACACCCAGGAGGAGTACGCCAAGCTGAAGAATGAGGTATGTTTGGAGTTTTCACATAGCGTCGTATGTTTTGCTTATGTTTTGTCTTAGAACAAGTCCTCTTCGAGCGAACAGATCGAGGAGCTCAAGACCAAACTTGCCGCAGCGGAAGCGAAGAACAAGGACTTCGGTCAGTCCTGATCAGCGTTTTCCTACCGTGTCCGCTTTACTTACGCGCCGCATAGACGTTGTACGGAAGCAAGCTCAGCAGAACGCGAAGGAGTACGACAGACTCGCGACTGAGTACAACACCAAGACCGGCGCCGTGTCGGACAAGCGCAAAGACTGAACGTTGAACTCTGAACTTTAAGCCTGTCCATGCTTGGGGTCTCGGCGGAGAGACAATGGACTATCGCGACTTTTGTAGTATTAGTTGTGGAGTTCGCAATGTACTTCTATCCCCTTGCTAATCCACGGCTAATCTATCCTCTCTACAAGTTCGTAACCCTTAAGTCTGTGAACGAAGTATCGCTGTCGTATTCCTGCTCGGGTTGTCGCAACGTGTATGCACACGACCAGTAAGAATACCCATGTGGGGTTTACAAATTTCACGGAGCGTCGATGTTATCCGTCCACAGGCCCGATAGCGCGTCAAACACCCAGGTGTGGTCTTCCGGCGCGGCGCTCCAAAAGGCCCATCGGAGGACAAGCGCCACTTTCAGCGCATTGCGCGCCGTTGGGCGACAGCGGCACACCCCAGTGCAGCCCCGTTCGTCTCCAATCAGCCACTGGATGAAGCTCTGGGCGAGTGAATGTGGCGCCTCCGTTACACTCTGGTATCTAAACTACAACACCGTGTTACCCAGAGGTAACGGTATAAGTAGATGCAGACGGGGCGTACCCTTGTGATCGCTTCAAGTGTGCGTCCCGTGCAGTACACGTCCCAGGAGTAGGGATCGAGGCGCTTCAAGCCATTGGGCTTCCGAACCTGGGTCTCCGGAAGCGTGATCGCGCGCTGCACGCCAGGTCCGAGCGCGAACTGGCGAGACGAGTCGAAGTCGATGATGTACATCCTGTCCGCGGTTGCGGTTGTGTACTGGGCTGCATGGTGACGATTCGCGGCGAGCAGGTTGTCCATACACATATCCTGCATGGAGGTGAGCAATGCACCGTGACGCCATAGCATACTCAAAGAGGGGACTGACCATGTGAACGATGTGCAAGCTATGCAGGTATTCCAGACCCTGGATGCCATAGTTCGACGTTCAGTTCCAGCGAGTGACGAAGGACTACGTGTTGAACACACCTCCACGAGCTGGTAGATAATATCTACAAGAGTAGATGCGGTTTCTTTATCGCAATGTGCGCCCCAGAATCGATAGAACCAGGGCATGATGAGTAGTGGATGGCCGTTGAGCGTAATCTCGCACGGCAGCGTGTGGTTATTCGGACACCTCAGTTCACGGAGCAGTCGTTGATAAATCGCAAGCTCCTCCATGCTGATGTCGATGATCTTGACGACATAGACTGGATCAATCTGGGGTAAAGTGCTGAATACGGCCCCCTGTACTCTGATTTCAGCTGACAAGACAGCAAAGGGTGAAAAGGGGCGCACGGGCTTCAGAACATCAGTCAGGACAATTCCTCGGCGCTGTATCTCGGGGTGGCGTAAGAGGCGGTCGGGAATTGCGCAAAGATCGAAATTCCCGTCAGAGTCTGTCACGAGCCAAGGATAATCGCAGTCCTCGGAGGCCATGTTGAGGCTTCCTTCGGGGTTGAAGCTTGAAGGCAAGACGTGTCTAATTTGCAGCTGAGGATGGGGCAGAGAAGAGTCAGTGGAAGATAGCTATAGAAAAGCGGAGAATCGAGCAACGTTCAATCGACGTCCGTCGTGCCAACCCTCAGACTCTCACACGCTCGTGCCACGCATACCATGAAAGAAAGAGGATAAAGTGTACCGGTCAAGTGTGTGGACGACAAGGTCGTGCTAGTACGAATTGGGAAGGAACAACTCCGAAACTCCGAGGAGGAGCGAACCTACGTTGTTTCTTTAGCGCCCACAAACAAAGTTCAACTCCAGCTCCCCAGCATGCTACGTAAATTTACAGACATCAATCACTTTCCAGTGTCAGCGGCCATCTTTTCCACCACGATAACGCGGACGAGTAGCCCCAAATATCGGACATTCATGTGTACGTCGAAGTTTCTATCTCCCTGACGGCGGTGCCGCCGGTTAGCGGAACGTACTGGTCCTGCACGCGGCAAGGAACACTTCAACAGATCGACACCGTTTTGCTCCTGTAGAAATCCGATACTGCGAGGGACGCCAGCCGCTGAGGCTGAAATAGGACAAGGAAGGACAAGGACAAAGGCTTTCTGCAGGAGCAAGGCGAGTATATGCTTCAAGCCCGCATACAGGACACTCACACCATGCGCATATACAGACTTGAACGTATTGCCTCCTATTGCCTCGTGCTGTTGCACGACGCCCAGTGTCCACGGAGCTCTTCCGTAGCCATGCAAATATCCAGCTACTCATATACGAGAGGCCTGTGCAGTCAATAGTACAGCTATTTATTGCCCACGTGGCTCACCGACCGCTGTCAGAGACCCTCTTGACGCTAGCTGCGAGCAAGTTGAAGTCTAATGCCATGGCCTCCTCTTGCCCTTTGCCACATATCACCATGCTAGCAAGCCCCAGACCTCACTGAAGCATTACGGCAGAAGATGCGCCTATGTATGCCCTCGTACCCTCGCAGCGGGCCCCTCGGGATTAAGGGCGCAAGATATACAAGCAGGTATGCAAATTCACATACCACTGACTCTGTACAAACGCATTCTCTTTCACTTCAGCTCTTCGCAAGCAGAGAAAGTCGGAATATGTTGAAGTCGTTGACCGCAAGGCACCGAACCCAGGCGGCATCCACTAGAAGTCCTGGAAGGGGTGTCAATGGGGGTCAGGTAATGTTGACATTTTGTAAGTATACCACACCCACTGAACACTTGGTGCATTCTGCAGTAACCTGCAACTTGCAGTAAAGTAGAGGGAGGTCGGAAATGCTTGGCGCTCCTGCAGACGGACGACACGGGAGCCCGAAAATCGGGCCGACGATCCGTCACTGACCAATAAGCTATGTACCGCCTATCGCAGGGCTTGCCGAATCGCATCCAGCGTTCGGACCTGACCACGAAGTCGATCCACGACTTCCTTGAAGCTGCCTCGATGTCGGCCTGGCCACTCAACGTTATGCGCAAGTCGCTCGGCGCACGCACCGATCATGAAGCCTGCAAAAGAAGCGTTTGCATATAGCCCCCGCGGGCGATTTTACGGCTTTCTGCGGACGGCAGAAGCGTGGATCGCACTCCTGGAGATTCCCAATCACGCATGCCACCTGCCTGATCGAACGCGCTGCGCGTGGCCGGTCCGGCGTTGGGGAGCCTGCAGCTGACTGGGGCAGCGGTATTTCAGCGACACGGGGTATCCTTGGTATGTTCAAATCTCGTCGTGGGGGCCGACGGTTGACGTCAAGATCACTCTGCAGTCGCTGTTCCGCGGACATGCAGCCGCCGCCCACCCGGGCCTGGCCCTGGAAGGGCATCTCCCCGAGTCATGAGCTTCGAGTGGATCTCAGCGCCGATTGGGTGCGGGCCGTATAAGAATGCGGGGCAGAATGGTGACAACCACATAGAACGCCTGGTCTGCGACCGCCTCTCCTCTGCCTCTCAGACCTTTGCTGCCATCTTGACCCGCGATGGACACTCCCCGGTCCGAGATCACGCATGTCGAGGTGTCCGACGACGAAAAGGCGTTCAAGTACGCCGAGGCGCGCTCCGCTGCGCCATCGGTGTACGAAAAGGGCGTTGCCGCAATCGAAGAGGTCGACCTACCCCCGGACGGTGGCCGCGGGTGGCTCGTCATCTTCGGTTGTGTGATTTTCTCCGCCGCGACGGTTGGATGGGGGTATGTGCTCAAGTACATCCGTGCTGAGAAATAACTATTGAACATTATCTGGCACCTCGCACGTCGTCGATTCTCGACGCAGGCTTGTGAGCAGCGGACACCTCTGCCCGGTCTTTCCAAATCCTCTTGCTGTGACGTACTCACATCACAACAGGTCTGGGGCGTCACGGAAGAGTACTTCAAGGAGAACGTATTCCCTGACGCATCCGACTCCGTGCTGAGCACGCTGGGGAGCATGTCTGGCATGGTACGTCCGGGGTCTATTGTGTCGGATTACAAAATGTGGCTCATGATCACCTCGTTGCACAGTTCATGACCCTGCTGAGCGTCATCCCGGGAAAATTGGCAGACCGCTAGTGAGTGTTACGTACGCGGGTTCGTCGCTGACCTGTAATGCTGACTTTCGCTCACAGCGGCTACAAGGTATGTTCTTCTTACGATCCCAGCAGGTGTGCAGCGTGCTTAACATGTGGCCAGCCCTTCCTCGCTGCCGGCGGGATCCTGTGGACGCTGAGCATGATTCTGTGCGTGTTCGCCACGCAGTTGTGGCATTTCTTCGTGATCATGGTAGGCGCGGCACGTGGTGATCTTCTAGTACTCCCGAACTGAACATCTTTCCCCAGGGCATCATCCAAGGCTTTGCAAACGCGCTGGTCTATCCTCTCATTGTGAGCGTCCTTACGTATTCCTGCTATCACAGCTTCTCACCCTGTCTGCTGTAGGTCGCCCTTCCGGCGCAATGGTTCCTTAGATTCCGCGGGCTCACCACTGGCATCGTCGTTGCCGGCAGTTCTCTCGGTATGCTCCCCTGTGCACCAGTGTGAACCTCCACCATGATTTGACCCGTCACCCGATGCAGGCGGCGCTGTCTCCTCCCTGCTATTCCGACAACTGCTCACCGCATTCGGGCTCAAAAAGTCGTTCGCGATCTACACCGCACTCGATGGCGCGCTCCTCTTTGCAGCGTGGTTCATGATTTCAGAACGTCGGAGGCCGACGGAGCGGAAGACGATCGTCTGGATCGACCGCTCGTTCTTCAGCGACCCCGTGTTCTGGAGTCTCGGCGCGTGCTTCTTCTTCACGGTCTTGTAAGTGCTATCCGCACACCCTGATTTCTTCGCTGACCACGGTCTTTTTTCGGTGGTAGCGGATATCTCTCCCCCATCTTCCTCCTCCCGACGTTTGCCAAGGCCAAGATTCCCGATCTCTCGGACACGGTGCGTTTCTTCAACTGCGTGGATCCAATCTAGGAGACTGACTGTCAGCGCAAACAGCTCTCTGCACTCCCAGTGACGGTGCTCAACTTCTCCGCGGCGATGGGACGCACACTGATCGGCTTCCTCGCGGACCGCGTTGGCCCCGTCAATGCGATGTGGACGGTGATCATGCTCTCCGGGCTCACGCAGCTGCTTGTCTGGACGTTTGTCTCGACCTATGCCGGCATTGTACGTACCTTTCCTCAACTTGTGCTGCGCACACCGCTCAGTCCTGTGGCTTGTAACGACAGCTGGCGTTCGCGATCTTATACGGCTTCGTGTGCGGTTGCTTCCTCTCGCTCTCGCCAGCCGTCGCTGCGCAACTCTGGGGTTCCGGCAGGCTCGCCGGCCTCTCCGGACTCATGTTGCTCTTTAACCTTCCCGGTTCGTCGGGATGTTCTCTTCACGCTATCTTCCGCTCATGTCTCGTGGTATGTAGGAAACTCTGCGGGCGCGCCCCTGGGAGGTGCCATCCTCAGTGGGACGGGCGGGAACTGGACCGCGGTCTCATGTTATTCCGGCGGCCTGCAGATTATTGGCGCTACGGTGCTGCTTTACGGTGCGTCCGCAATACCGCGCGGGAGGAATGCAGGAAAGCTGATATAGCTCTTCCCCATCACGTAGCGCGCTTGAAGCGACAGCCCAAGATCCTCGCCGTGTACTGATGCTCTCTGATTTTCACTCCACACGCGAAGACACCTCTCAGCACGACTTTCCTTTCATTCCACGACCTTTGACGCGCCAAAACGCTACGACTCCTCGGATACGCGACATTAGATGCGCTCGGCTGGGCGCTTAGTATATGTATCCAACCCTCTCGAGAACACCGACCTCTGCATCGACCGCACTAGATAGAATGGGTGGCTCAGGAAACCACTCGTTGCGACTCGGATACTTGTGACACGTCTTCCACATTCCCCATTGTAGATCATCCGCACGAATAGAACTTTACCAGACGCCCCTTCGGATGCTTCCGTCCTGCCAATGCGACGCCGAGCGCTGTGCTGACCGAGCGCGTGGAACCACGGCGTGCGTTGTAGGCCCGTGTTCCCATAACTACTGGGACGTGTTTTGCGTAGGACGCACGTTGCAATCCTTCTGAGTTGAGCTACAGTTGCGGTCTACGTCAAGCGTCGACTTTCTTTGCATGGCAGATACGTTGTACTTGAGTAGGATGCCTTCAGTGACGGAAAGTGGGCAGCGAGCCCGCCTTGGCTCGCCACAAGGTGGCTCATCCGATGGCTCCGCGAGTCGTTGGGGACGAACGGGGTTGCACTGGCGTGTGCCTCTGCCGTCCGACGGCACGTACGGTGCTGCGAGTATTAAAGATTGTTCTCCGATGGGCTGCTCGCGCGGTGGATGGCTACGACTGGGTGGGCTATTTGTCGTGTCTGTGGGCAACTCGCAAGTGACCAACTGGAGCACCTAGCACACAACGTTGGCGTTCAGCACAGATGAGTGAGCATACTACTTCCATCCGGCGTCCGAGGCGACAGAAGTGTATATGCCATGTACAAAGCGTCTCTACGCTCGCTGGTTGGAATACAACCCTACGTTGTATTACCGTGTCCGCTGCCGCCATCTTCCTCGTCGTTCAGCTGAGAGACGATGTCGCGCCAATCGTGACTGTCTCTTGACTCCGTGTGCGATGGAACTGAATGGATACAGTGACTGACTGAAGCTTCGCGGATGCGCCAACCTCCTGGAGCATGCGGTGTGCGAATTCATCCATATCCCACCCTACCAAGGCCTCCTCGACCGGCTCAAGCGGAGGCTCTTCGCCATAGGTGACGTATCTGATCCACGAGCAGTCCAGGCACAACCAGAAAGCGACGAGGTTCTTCAGCGGCACAACGATGCGGGACGCCAACACGGCCGGGTCCTACAACGCAAAATGAGCACCGCACCGCACACTGTCGAAGAAGGTAGGGTGGACTCACCAAAGCGACGGATATGTCCATCCCCCGGTCCTCCTTTTGCAGATTGACGATGAGGTCGAACCGCTTGAGCGCCTGTACGCCCGGGTGCGCGAACGTTGCCAGGAAGTCGGGGTCGGCCAGCCAGTCCCCACCGTCGAAGCGGAGCTGCAGCCGCCGCGGGCACGCGTCGCCAAGCACCGCGTGGAGCATGGTCGGGTCGAACCTCTCACCATCTTGGTCGAGATACAGCGTGCCGACGGGACAGCGGAGCCCGAGCAGGTAGAGGTTCGTCACGGTCCCGCGGAAGCGCTCCAGCGAGGGCCACGTCCCAAGGCGGTCCTGCTCGTTCTGGTTCTGGGCGCGCCGCATGTCCAAGTCTTCGCCGCCGCTTTCCCCCCGTGACCTGGAACAGTAGTCTTTGGTCGTGAGGACGCGCAGGTTTGGGAACGCGCGGACATAGTGCTGCATTTGTGGGATGTCGAAGTAGTCGAGGTTTAGGACGGTGGCGTGCGGGTATATTGGGCTGTCGGACGCGCTGGTGGAGAAGGTCGTGTCGAGCTCGCGCAGGGTGTCCTGGGAGCGGTGCAGGAGCCACATCGGGTTCTGGTCCTCGAGGGTGAGCTCGTTCCCGATGTCCCACGGTTCGGGCCCTATGCCGATGTTGGCGTAGAACAGGGTGGAGCGGAGCGCCTTCAGCATCCTGACCGTGCAGGGCCCCGCTGAGGAGACGCTGAGGTATGTGAGCGTGGGGAGCCCAGCGATGGCCTCCGGGAGCGCAGGATGCAAGCCCAGGACCTCCTCGGAGTCGTAGATGGTCAACCTGAGCAGGCACCCAAACGAAGAGATGGCGGTGAAGAATCCACGGAGGAATATCCCGGCGGTATCTTCGTGGAATTGCACCAGGTCGGAATCTTGTGCGTCGTCGGTACATCGCCGTCTTGACAATGTCAGCTCACGGAGAAGCAAAATGCATTGCCGCTCGCGACCGCTGTCGCTGCCGACGAACAGCATGAACGACATAATTTGCTTGTCGGTCGTGAGGGAGACGCCGTCCTTGAGGAGGTATTTTGTGCCGTGTTCGTGGAACATACGGCACGTCTGCATGAGAGTGCGGACCAGATCCTTGCTGGCGAGGTCAAGGATGTGCAAGAGGATGTCTTCGTAGAGGTAGGTACTCCGGCCCGCCATGGTCTGCTACTCAACATGTTCAGTAGAGGGGTTGCAACCCCCCGGCCTATTAGGCCACCCGTACTTGACCTCGGGGTTAACCCCGGGGCACCTGGCATACTTTAAATAAAATGGTACGTTAGGGATTCGAACCGGCAGCATTAATATATCACCGGGCACTACTACCCCTACACCAGTAGGCCTTACATTCTTGCCTTTCGCTTAGGCCTGTGTGCTACCTTAGGGTTCGGCTTAGGGTTAGGTATTTGGGTTAGGCCACTTAATATACGACTTTCCCCCTCCCCTGAGAGGAGCCGGTCTGTAAAAATCGCGCGAACGAGGCTTTAGTGTGCCCGCCTGAGTGCTCCCGGTTCGGGGGACCCCCCGAGCGCAGCGAGGGAGGGGAGGGAGCACGAATGGCGGGTCCTCTTCGCGCAACCAACAAAACCAATATGGTGTATTAAATTGTTGAGCAAAGGAAGCTCTGGTGGTACAGTGGTTAGATTACCCGGCTTGCCGGCTCAGATCTGCTGTGTTGCCGGTTCAATCCTCCCTGCTGCCATTTCTTAGCTACTTTTAGTAATGTATTTTACAAAGTCTAAGTGCTCCGGTGTCAAGTCCCGGGGTTAACCCCGGTGGCCTAATAGGCCATGGGGTTACAACCCCTCTACTGAAGTCCCTCCTGCTACTCGCATTGTAAGCTATCGTAACGTCACGATGTACCACATACTGGCACGAGATGACAGAGACGAAGACAACTTATGGATGGCGTAGTTTCTTGCGGAGTGTTTCCCCCGGGGTTCACAGGTTCGCCGCGTCAACAGATGTCGAATCCATGGGGATCCGCAGCCAAGATATAGCAAGACGATAGAAAGAAGATTGTCTTGCCGTAACCGAGGACCAAGCACTAGTACTCTGATCCTGCCCCCCAAAAGGGGGTAGGGAGGAGGCGCGAGCTTTAATTTGCAACTGGCTGACGCCGAAACGGATGGGGACGTATGAAGCCACGTGCTGCGCCTACTATGATCACGAAGAAATGCCACAACTGCGCGGCGAACACGCACAGAATCATGCTCAGCGTCCACAGGATCCCGCCGGCAGCGAGGAAGGGCTGGCCACATGTTAAGCACGCTGCACACCTGCTGGGATCGTAAGAAGAACATACCTTGTAGCCGCTGTGAGCGAAAGTCAGCATGACAGGTCAGCGATGAACCCGCGTACGTAACACTCACTAGCGGTCTGCCAATTTTCCCGGGATGACGCTCAGCAGGGTCATGAACTGTGCAACGAGGTGATCATGAGTCCCATTTTCCAATCCGACACAATAGACTCCGGACGTATCATGCCAGACATGCTTCCTCAGCACGGAGTCGGATGCTTCGTCGGATGCCTCAGCGAAGTCTGAGCTTGACGGCCCGATGGGGTGCGGTGAAGAGTGCGAGACCATTGATATAGCATCAGAGTCTGCACTGTGCGGCAAGCATGTCTGAGCTCTTAAGGATGTCAGTCAGCCACGTGAGTTGCAGCTTGCGCTGAACACAAGCTTCTTGTGCGTAGGCAGTCGTAATTTTGTCTGGTTTGGCAGAAGCACAGCGGAGCTACGGCGATGTACTACAGCAGCAGGAGGCAGCGCGTGGTGACTGTAGTCTGAGGACGGTCTGCATATGCGCATTGTGTAAGTGTCATATACACGGGAAAGGTCAAGACGCACACACTCAGATCCGTGTCCCAGGCAGACATCGGTTTTCCTTATGCCCTCGACGGTGGAGGTATGCCAGATATAAATCCCTTAGGGGCCAGGCTTTCGATGCTATCGCACATCAGGAAACGCTTACAGTCGAAACCCTCTTAACACATACCTCTCGTAGCCCATAACCTGGGATAACCCATGCCTTTTTGGCTTTCCCGAGTTGGGATAGGGGCAAGTCGACCCCATACCCCATGGACCTGTGATACCACATAACCCATACGCTGGCCGGGCAAAAATCCCATACCTTTTGCTTACTTAATATCAGTCATCGATGACATTCCGGCGACGTGTGCTTGCATCCGACGCTTTCCCATGTCCTCCCATCGATCTTGCACGCTTAATTGGCAGTTGAAGGAAGCATTCCAGCTTCTTGAGGGCCAGGTTTCCTCGCGCCGGGCGCAGCTGCAGGCTTCTCTTGCGGCAAAGAAGCCAATCGGACCCGACGACGAAGCTTGGCTGGACAACGAAGCCAACCTCGTTGATGAGCAGAGAGCGATAAGTGCCCTAGAGAAGGCGAAGGACTACGAGACCGCCCTGCGAGAGCTCTCAGCGGGAGAGAAGGCGGCGATACGGCGGCTCGAGGGTATCTGGAAAAATGGCGCGGGAAAGGGGCCTCAGAAGAGTGGTGTGGTTGGCGGAAAGAGAAAGCGTGCGTGGCCCTGAAATTGTTGATAAAATAATTAGACTGACTTCGAGCAAAAAGGGCCGGAGGATGCGAAAACGACCGCAGGGCAGCCGAAGAAGAAGGCAGTTTCGAACCCAGTGTTCGAGAAGAAGGAGAATGCCACACTTGCCCAGCGAATCGAAATTCTGGACTGGTTTCATGCGAACGGCAAGAATCAAACAAAAACTGCGCGGCACTTCGACCCACTCTATCCAAACCTCAAGCTCAAGCAGCCGACAGTGAGCTCGTGGGTTAAGGATGAGGCGATGTGGCGGAAGAGATGGGAGGAGTCTGGGTGCGGTACGGGCAGCGGGCCGAGCGCAGCGGCCTCAGCAAAGCGGCTCCTCCAGACGCAGCACCCTGAGATCGAGCAAATGATGGATCTCTGGTTAGTCGCGGCCTTGTCGTCGAATATTTTACTTTCTGGCGAGGTCCTGCGCCAGAAATGGAAGTCATTTGCGGACCGCGCGAAGGTTCCTCTTGACCAGCAGCTGCGTCTCAGTAACGGCTGGTTGGAACAATTCAAGAAGCGCCACGGGCTGCGCGAGTTCAAGCGTCATGGCGAGGCAGCTTCTGCGGACCTCCAGGACGTGGACGAAGAACGCAAGCGCGTCCAAGAGCTCATTGCGAAGCACGGTTTTCGATCACGCGACATTTACAATATGGACGAGACAGGTCTCTTCTATGGGTGAGTTTATCTGATATTTTTGCAGGGTTGTCAAATTGAGAGGCCCCATTTAGACTTCCTCCTGACCGTGGGCTCTCGGATAAGGCTACCGCCGGCGTCAAGGGGAAGAAGGTGCACCTTACCTACGCCTTCACCGCCAATGCCGATGGAACGGATAAGCTCCCGCCCTTCGTCATTGGGAAGTGGAAGAAGCCCAGACCGTTTGCGGGGAAGACAGGGGCCCAGCTAGGTTTCCGTTATCGGAACAATGCGAAGGCGTGGATGACGACCGTCCTGTACCAGGAGTGGATCCAGGAGTGGGACCGCAAGCTCACTGCCGAGGGGCGGAACATCCTCCTACTTCAAGACAACTTCTCCGCGCACGTCCCTCCGCTGGGATTGCGGTCCATCCAGGTCGAGAATTTCAAGGCAAACCTGACCGCCCACGTGCAGCCGAACGACCAGGGCATTATCCGATGCTTCAAGGCCCACTACCGTGCGCGGTTCATTGAACGTGCAATCAACCGTTACAATCGCGGCATCACTCCGTCCAACATCTACAACATAGACCAGCTCGAAGCCATGCGACTTGCTGATGCTGCTTGGATGGAGGTGGACGCCAATACGCTCCGACACTGCTGGCGCAAGGCCGGCATCCTGCCGCCCGATCTGGCCGCCGATTCTCTCCCCCTTCCGGCACCCTCTGTCCCCATTGCCTCGCTTCTCAATGCCGAGGCAACCACAGCGAGTCAAGACCCTGTTCGGCAGGCGGAGAAGGCCGTTGAGGAAGCCCTTGATGGGCTTGTCATGACCGGCGCACTCCAGACAGCGAACCGCATGGACGTCGACTTCCTCCTCAACCCACCAGTCGAGACCGAAGTGCTTTCGCAGACCTCGGAGGAAGAAATTTTTCTTGCTGTTCAGGAGTCTCGTGAAGACGAAGATGAGGAGGCGGCTGAAGGCGACGATGAGCCCGAGACTCCTCCGACACGACACAAAGTTCTTGAAGCGGCCGCTTTGCTCACTCAGTTCACAAATGGTATGGATACACCCGCCGCGCGGAAGCTGGAGGATGCCCTCACCCGATTCACGCGGGAAATGTGGCGCGACGCTCAACGCTCGATGAAGGATACCTCGATTACTGATTATCTGTCCCGCACGTAGTGCTTTACGCTGATATCTCTTTGACCCAATAGCGGGCGCTTAATATAATTACTGCCAACGCCTTACGGGCGCTTACTCTGGTAACCCATATCCTGCGAAAACCCATAGTTTGGGGCCCTTCCCGACCGCTATGGGTTAGGAGGGTTTCGACTGTATTTCTCCTCCCGGGCCGTGCGGTACCAGACGGAGCCGATGGAGCCGCGGAGATCCGGGCTCCAGGGGGAGATTGGCGTCTCCATGCGTCTCCGTATGGAGCCGCCTGTCTCCGTTGGGTGTGCTCCGGAGACTAGGCACGCCCGCAATGTTGACCGCGCTGAAGCGCATTTGCGAATTTTGCATTAATTCTGGCTCACACGAGCTGGCGCATGCGCGCCGACGACGTTAGGGCATCAAACGCGGTGTTGGGAAACTGCAGACGGGGGCCCATGGAGACGCTCTCTCGGGACGGAGACAGCGTATCCCGATGGGTCCGGCCGGAGCGCCCAGAAAACCATCTCCGTCCGGAAATTTCCCATTTTCCTGATGCAGTAAGCGTGCGTGACGGTGGCACTGCTAACAGGGCAGGATTCCTTTGCCAAGTGCTGGCCCTGTCGGTAGTGTTTCCCGGTAGCGGTGGTGGTATGAGGGAAAGCGGACAACGAGGCAAGAGAGTTATTAAAGTTCACGTTCAGAATTGCAGAATAAATCCAACGAGCGCTAAATTTGCACTGTGCGAGTTGTTCCTTCCCACTTCGTATAGCTACTACGCCGCCGGCTGTAGATTGGCTTTACTGGTTTCTTTATCACTCCTGGGCCTACGGCGGCGATATGACTTCCGAAGGCTTCCGATATCCTTGGTTCGTGAGACTCCGTAACGGAGAGATCGGTTCTGCGGAATTCCCAAACGCCTCTTCAACGCAACCCAGAGTTACAGCGCCGAGGAATCGTCCTAGCCGATGTTCCAAAGTCTGCGCGTCTTTTTTATTATTACATTTGACTGTCCTCGCAGCTGACATTCAAGGACAGGGATCTGTATTCCGTACTCTACCCTGGATCCAACCAGGCTACTTTGTCAACGTCCTCGACCCCGGCATGGAGGAGCTCGCGATCTATGAACGACTACTTCAAGTTCGCGAACTGAAGTGTCCGAACAATCACATAGTACCATGCGAAATCCCCTCAATCGATCATCCACTGCTTATCATGCCTAAGTTGGGGGCCTTGGAAGGAGTAGATCCATCTAAACGAATATACTCTCATCGATTTACTATTCCAGTTCGTGGAGGTATGTACAGCAAGTACTCAGCCTTTCTACTGACTACGACTCAACCACGAAAACCAGGGTTTAGAATTTATGCACAGCTTACACATCGTACACATGGTGCGTCTCGACATTCGGCTTCATCGTGGGGTGTAAGTAACTGTAGGCCGCCTTAGTCCGACCCGAGTGAGATGCACAGAGTCGTGATAGAGGCGTAGTAGAATAGTAGATACAAGCAAGGGAGCGTCGCGTCCGAGTCATAGTCCGTGGTACTGTATAGTCCACCAGCCACACCCACGGGCGCCTAAGCGCCGGATCCCGACCGCGGCCCGGCCGCGGTCCCCAAGCCGTTACACCCTCCCCCTCCGGATCGAGGCATGATCCCAATCCCAATCCCTAGCACGACGAGCGGAGGCGGTGGTGTGGTGGTGGGAGAGGACGCCGACGAGGGCCGCGCGCGTGCCGCAGCGGGAACCCTCATTTTAGTCGTCGATGTCGTCCGCGTCTACCAGCTCGTCGAAGTCTCCGTGATTGGACTCGTGAGTTTCGAGGAGGCGCTCGCCCCAAGCCAGGTCGTCGTACTTGACGATGGGCGCGGTTTCGGCAGGGGTGGTGACGGCCTCGAGCGATGAGGGGGATGAGGCCCAGGGGGAGTCGTCAAGGGGCTCGCGGTGCTCGCGCGCGTTGCGGGTGACGAGAGCCCAGCGCTGGATGGAACGGATGATCTCGTCGTTCAGCCCTAAGCCGTGGGTACAGAACCACGCGGCCAAGTGGATGGGGGAGGCGTCGTCGGCGGAGAACGGGAAGCGGATGGGGGTGGCCTGGGGAACAGCGACGTACTCGCCGATCTCGACGATGCGACGGTACCACCCGGGGATGGAGAAAAGCTCGACCACGATCTCGAGGATGCGGATGTCGTGGGAGTGGTGGGGGTTCTTGCGACGGCGCTGGAGTACGAGGTGCCACAGCAGGAAGAACGCCCGGCAGTCGCCCAGGTGGGGGATGGCGAATCCATCGCCCACCGGTGCAGCGCCGGACGCCGTACGCATGCCTTGGGGCCAGGCATTCACTGCCGCCGACCGGAAAAACCGCCAGATGGTGGCAGCATTGGCGGTGGCTTCCGGGTAGCGTCCCAGAGTATCGCGAGGTGCGAACTCAGGGCGCGGCGCCGGCTTTTCGTGGTACTGCTTGATGCGCGCAGAGTCCGCACTCTGGACGTGCATCAAGAACCTGATGCCCTCAGGCCGAACGTGGGCGGGGTTGTTGTAGAGAGGGACGATGAACTTGTAGAAGCGCATCGCCTCCTCGTCCCACTCAACCAACGCCCACCAACGTAGGTTATGGGCCTGCACCACCGATTTGATGAGGGTGCCGGCCCACGGACCGAACACGGGGTTGTCGGTGGAGGGTAGCGGGTCAGGCAGCCCCGTGCCTTTCGACCGCGCGCGACTCTCTTCCTTGTGGGTCGCGGCGCCCGTCATGTGAGGCGCAAATCGCTCGATGGGGTCGGCGAGGACCATGTCCACACCAGGGGTGCGGTCATCGTCGTCGTCCGAGCCCTCATCGTCGAAGTCCATCTCCGTGTACGCGCCGGCCATGTCCGGCGGAGGGCTTATCCAACACCGGTACCAGGCCGACAGTGGTTGTCCCGACGATTCGAGGGCTTCATCGGGCTTCCCTTTCAGCGAGAGGATCCGGCATACCTCCCGTTTACCGGGAGGCAGCGCGCGGAGCTCAGCTTCCAGGTCAGCATCGATGACCGTCATCGTGGTGGCGGCGGGCGGACCGACGGCATTCGGGTCGGGAGCCCCTCCAGCAGGTGGAATGCCTGCGGGAGGAGCAGCGGGACCGGCTGCGTCGGTCATGGTGACATCCTGCGCAGGCTGAAGCCCAACTGGCGCGTGCATGGATGCAGCGAGGGGTGCGTGCAGAGGAGGCGCCGGCACCGTCGGATTCGCGGGCGCCTGTCCCGGCGTGATTGCGGCCGGGTGCGCAGGGTGCGCAGGCGCAGGCGCAGCGGCGTGGGCGTGAGCGGACGCGGGCGCATGCGCAGCGGCGTGGGTGTGAACGGGCGCAGGCGCGGGCACGGGCCCGTGGCCGAAAGGCGGCTGAGCCCCTCGTCCCCAACCTGTGCCCGGCCACCCGCTGTCGTGGCCTTGGGGTATGAACCCGCGGGGCGGCGGGCCCCGACGTTCGCGCGACGGCTTCTCGAGTTCGCTCCGGAGGGCATCGCGCTCTATGGTGAGGGCGGCAATCTTGGCTTCGGCCTGCTCGATCAGCCGATCGCGGTCGCGTATACGCGCCCGCAGGTCGTGCTGCTTCGCGTTGGCCTCACCAAGCTCAGCCGACAGCTGGGCCTGCTTCTGGCGGGCGTCAGCCAATTCTTGATAGGCGTTGGCGGCGCGTTCCCACCCGCTATTATCCGACCCCATGTGCAGGGGCGGATAGTTGCCGGGGGTCGGTCCAAAGCCGGATGGCCCGTAGTTGGGCCCGTAGTTGGGCCCGTAATTAGAGCCGGGGGGGCCGAAATTTTTGGGCCCGAAGTTGTTGTTGAAGGACGGCCCGGAGGACTGGAACGCCGGCTGCGAGTATCCACTGAAGTGGCTACTGCCTCCCGACCCTCCCCCTCCGGGCGCGTCGTACGTGTCTATGTCCGCGTAGCCCCGCTTGTTGTGGACGACTACAGAGTCGTCCCCACCATGCGGGGAGCAGGAACGGCCACGGTGGGACATGCTGGTGGTGGTTGCAGAAGAGCGGGAAGACAGCTTGAGAGAGTGCGGGAGGCGAGAGCGGAAGCGAGTGATGGCAAAGCGAGCTGGGCCGGCGTCGGTGAAACCGGGTGGGGCGCTCGAGAGGGGTGTGGGAGGAGAGAGGAGCTGCCGGGCCACGTCACGGGCGGCTAACTTTAATGTGAGCGCCGCCCAAATGTGGTTCCCACGCCACCATCGAGGTGGCGCGGTGAATCCCGGCCTTCAACGTTTCTTCCTCCCCAGCCCCGCACGTACGCCCACCCCGACCTCGGTCGTGGTGGCCGACGCGTCGCGGGCTCAACGGCGGGAGCGACGGGGCGGGGCCTCCGCACGGGCAATCCGTGGTAGGGCCCGCCAGTCCGCGACACCCATCAATGCCAAATAATCGTCCAGGGCGCGCAACTCGTTGCAGTGAGCCAGTGGTTCCCAAGTATGTTCGCCCGCCGACCAGTGAACCAGGAACTCGATGGACTTAGCCATCCATCGATGTCCGGTGATCTCGTCGACGAGCCATTCCTGCTCGTCGGGCATGCCAAAATCATAGAATTTCTGGGCCTCGCGGCCCGGGAAGATGGCGTTGTCGCTCTCATGGTGAGGGCGCAACAGCGCGGCGTGGAACGTTGGATGGACTCGGCGTTTGACGAGTTCATCTGGCAATTCCAGCGTATAGCTGGACACCTTGGGGCTCGCTCGCAAGACCTTGTACGGACCGATAAATTTAGGCGCCAGTTTCCGTGCCCGGTTCTTAGGGAGTGTTAGGTTCTTGGTGGACAAATACACCTTGTCGCCCACGGCGAACGGTGCAATCTCTTCCGCGCGTCGCTGGTTAGCATGGTACGCCATGCCAACCCGGGACTGCAGGATCGCGTCGTGGGCCTGCGCCAGCTGCATGCGCACACGATCGGCGAATGCCTGGACACCGGGGAACTTAGACGTCCCCTGGTCCCAGGCCGCCATCCGCGGCATGTATCCGTAATTGAGCTCGAAGGGCGCAAACCCCGTTGACGAGTTCACGCTCGAGTTAATGGCAAATTCAACCATCGAGACGTGGTTCACCCAGTCGGTCTGGCTGGGGGACACCTTCGTCCGAAGAATTTGGGCCACATTGCGGATTGATCGTTCGGAGGCGCCATCGGTCTGAGGGTGAAACGAGGTTGACATAAGCAACTTCGTTCCCAATAGTCGGTGGACCTCCTTCCAAAACACGGACGTGAACTTGGAGTCACGATCGGATACGATTGACTCGGGAAGTCCATGTAGCCGGACTACTTCCTTCAGGTAGTAGTCGGCCACAGTGGATGCTGAGTCCGTTACCCGACATGGTATCAAATGCACCATGCTCGTGAGCCGACATATGACAACCAGCATGTAATTGTACCCGTTGGCGTCGGGGAATGGACCCACAAAGTCCATTCCGACCGACTGCCAGGGGTACATAGGAATAGGCATCGAGTGAAGTAATCCCGTGGGCACCGCGTTAGATGTCTTAGACATCTGGCACGCGCCGCAGGATACACAGAATCTCTTGATGTCCTTCGTCATACGAGGCCACCAGTACCACCGTCGAGCGTACTCCGCAGTCTTCTGGGCACCGAGGTGACCTAGCGTCGTGTGTGCATGGTCAATGACCAGCTCACGCAAGCTCCGCTTGTGTAGCAGTCTGACCGGTACGCACATGACCTTGTGGTCAAATCGGGTGGTTACATACAGCAACCCGTCGTGTACTTCAAATGATGGATAAGCCGAGGGCTTATCCATGATCTTGGAGAACGTAGGGTCGCTCGCATAACCGTGTCGCACCGCGGACTAAGGCTGAGCACGGGTCCGGCTCTATGCCCGGGTAGAGCCGGGAAAACCCGGATCCGGACCCGGAAAGAGCCGGACCCGCGGGTCCGGGTCATCCGGGCACCGGATCGTGCCCGGATCCAGGTTAGGGTTTCAAACCGTGCATGATCTGTGCCGGATCCTCACCTCATTCTATACCATGAGCAGTCTCCTCTACAATTTCTTTCTTTGCTTCATGACACACTCTAACTGGAAGCCTGGTACACACACATCCTACTGCACTACTTTCTATGTGGCTGAAAGGCTGAAGACTTCCACAACAAGACCAGGTTGGCCACAGGAGCCACATTGATTAGGCGATCCCGAGGCCAACTGTGCAGGGATTCACTTGCGAAATGGCGTGTTTTGACACGCTTTTGAAGGACTTTTAGGAACACCAAGGTTCGTCGTGATACGTCCAGTTTTGCATGTGCTGTGTCGATGTCTTTCCACCTCCCTTGTACTCAATACCTTTACCTTCATATCTCCTCTAAATCTGCATATTATCTGGCGATATCTTGCCTGATGTATGCCCCTTCATCACACAATCCATGCTGGAGCACTCGCTGTGCTATTCATCCGCTATTGGCTGCGTTCTGAAGTTCTCAAGAGCCCCAGAGCGCCACTTTTATCCTATCCATACCGCATCCATTTCTTCCTTGTATCCCACTTTGTCTGGACCATTGTACTCGTTCATGCCATAGCTTTCGAATGAGATACAGCACGGCCCAATCAGTCCATCCGTTCTGTAGATATGACTATGTACTCCTCCTCCCCCTCCTTACTTGTTTTGCTTATATCTCCGCCATTTTTCATCCGTTCCCCTTCCTTCGTTTTGACGGTCTGTCGCATTCGTATCATCTACACACCTATGTCCTTACTTTTGTGAAATAATCATTTTGATTTTTTTGATGTCCTGTGCAGGTAGACCCGGTGTGACCCACAGGTTACCTGGATCCGGATCCGCGGATCCAGGTGATCCGGGGTCCGGATCGTGCTCGGATCCAGGTGCGGCACAAAATCCGTGCCAAACCCGTAGGTCCGGGTCCGGATGATCCACGGATCGATCCGTGCTCAGCCTTACCGCGGACAAGAAACCATCTTCACCCAGAACAATCGAGTGAAGAGGGGGGCCAGCTTGGAGTGCGTCACCCACCGTGATGGTCTCCTCGTCCGAGGTCAACGGTGGAGGTACGGTAGGTAGCAGTTCCGCTGCTTCATTCTCGCGGTCTTCCACGACTTCGCAAAGAGCACGGAGCGCTACCTCTTCTACCAATTGCTCGATTTCGGCCTTGCGGACGTCCACGATATCTTCGAGACCCGGGTCAAGACGAACGTCGGCGTTGACGTAGTCCTGAACCGGCCGAAGTATATCGGGAGGGTCATTCTCAAAATACCGGGACAAGCAGTCCGCGACTTTGTTCTCACTTCCCGGAACATGTTCTATCTTGTAGTCGTATCGAGATAGAAACTCGTCCCACCGGATGAGACGACCAGATCGAGTATCCCTCTTGACTTGTCCCATGGCCAAGAGGGCCTCATGGTCCGTCGCAATCCGAAACTTTCGGCCAATGAGGCGATCCTCCCATTTGAGGAGCGCTTCAATCATGGCCAAAGCTTCCTGCTCATACGTCGGATAAGATCTTTGAGCTGACGTGAACTTCTTGGACATGAAGCCTGCCGGCCGGCAGGTCTGCCAGTCGGGTCCTTGTCCATACACGGCTCCTATACCGCACACCGACGCGTCCGTGACGACCCAAATAGGTTCGTCAAGGTCTGGGTCGATGGGCTTAAGTATGGGTGCCTTACACGCCATATCCTTGATACGGTCGAGGCAGGTTTGGTGAAGGGGCCGCCAGTAAAACGGCTGTCCATTCTTACCAATGGCCTCGAGCGGCGAAGTAAAGGCCGACAAGTCGGGCATGAAGTGCGCCAGATACTGGACCAGCCCCAGGAATCGAAGGACCTCGTCCTTAGATTGCATGGGAGGCCAGTCCCATATCTTGGTCATCTTGTCGCTGTCCGCATGAAGTCCACGGTCATCTATAAGGTGACCTAGGCAATCCATGCGGACCCAATATAAGTCCAGCTTGGCACGACTAAGATATAGTCGTTGCTCTCGCAGTCGATCAAACACCAATCGTAGATGTTCTTCGTGTTCGCCGATCGTACGGGAGAACACGAAGATATCGTCGAGGTATACGTGGACAAACACACCCAGGTACTTGCGGAATATCCACGTCATGAGCCGTTGGAATGTGCCAGGGGCGTTACAGTCCCCCTGCTGCATGACGTGGGATATCGCAGTACCGAAGATAGTGGAAAACGCGGTTTTCCAAACGTCCTCGACGTCAATGCGTATTTGTTCATACACATCGGACATGTCGATCTTTGATCGGTATTTGGCGCGAGCCACATCTTGTCGAATGTTATCCTGGTCAGGGAATGGCGTCACGTCCTTGAACGTGTTGTCATTCCGCTGTCTAGTGTCGATAACCGTTCGCAATTTGCCGTTCTTTTTAAGGACACATAGTAATGGAGCAGCCTGGTTGGCGGGCTTCATCTCCCACCACCCAGCCTCCAAATACCGGTCCATCTTCGCCTTGAGTTCACCTCTTACGGCGTCGGGGCACCGGGGGTGGTGGTAGTTATACCGGTGTTGCTCGTCCATGAGCGGGATACGATGATTTATCTCGCGCATGGGGGGCAACTCTAACGGTATAGGGCCAACCAAATCCTCAACCCGTTGAAACCATTGCTCGCGCAAATATGGTATCACCTCCGGAGGTTTAAGATAGGATCGTTCGGGCATCTCGCGGAGGTAGTTTACTACCTCCTCGTAGAGGGCCTCGTTCATCCCATATCTGTCTTCATTTCCATACTTGTCTCGTTTCACTCCACTCGAGGAGTGGAGCGAAATGGGATCGCGATCCGTGATCTCCGGCATGTCCTTGGGCAGTCGAGGGTCTCGCTTCCAAGGAACAGAATGTTTCTTGGGGCGTTCACTATCTGCTGGATAATTGAATATGGCCTGGTGTGGAGGGAGTGCTGCCGCCTCCAACTTTTCAGTTGGAGAAGGCGTATTCTCGGTGTCCACAGTGTGACTGGAACGATGGTCCACCATAGGTGGATCCTGGCTGTATGGCTCTTTGGTCGCGATCGGATCGGGCCGGGGAACGTTGTTCCCTGGTCCTCGGCCGTCGACGTCCACGGTGCTTTTACGCTTGCGGATCTCTTCCACCACGTAGGGGAGGTGTCCGTCAAGGACGCGTTCGGAGATATCTCCGAGTTTGTCCTCATCCGGTACATCCTCAACTGTGGTTTTCCGGAGATGCGGAGGTTCATGGAGTCAATTCCCGGAAGGAGGAATTGGACGCGTGGCCCCGCTGGGCTTGCGAACATTTAGTCTGCGTACTCGGTATGCTGAGTCTTCTTCATTGGTGAATGCGGAACAAGTCTGGCCTTTGACAATGATCGCTCGTTGTTCAAAGTCCAGCTTAATTCCGTGGGCATTCATGAAGGGAGTGCCAATAACACAATCGTACCGATCGAGGTTCACTATGTCGAAATACATGGTGTCCGCGATAGGTCCAAACTGGATGGGTACCCAGGTACCGTAGCTGATCTTAGATCTGCTGCCTGAGCATCCCAACTGCAGCACTACCTGTTCACTGAGTTTCACCATCTTCGCCCTAGATATGTGGGCGAATTCCGGAGATACTGAGTCGGTAGTGCTCCCTGAGTCGAACAACGTATAGGCCAGGATGCCATTTACATTGATCAACGCGCATAGCGATGCCTGGAGTTGGCGATCGCGACGCGGTTGTACCGTATCCGAAGTAGATTCGCGCCGACGCACACTGGTGGAGTGTGCAACAAGCTTGCTAGGAGGAGTCACTCGACCAGCGCGCATGTGGAGGACGATCTCGTCCTCTTCATCGCTCCATGAGTCGGTGACTCTCATTGCCATAGTTTGAGCTCGAATCACTTCCGACCCCCCCCCTTCCGAGGGTGGCTGCGGTGTGAGCACGCGCTCCTCCTCGGAATCGTACCGGGACCCGCCCCAGGTCTCATCACCGTATGGATTACCGTCTGGGAGGACGAGGTCCTGTGCTAGACTGTCAGTGCCCATATCCACACGCTGGGCATGGAAACGGGTCCGTTGCACAGGCTTGCCTGGTCCTCCGGGACGATGTTTGCCATACTGCGGGCAGGTAGGGTCGTTTGCATAGTGGCCAAGCTGACCACAGCTGAAGCAGGTGTTGCCGGCGGGAACAGAGCGCGACTGCCCCGGGGTGGGCACTCGCGCGGCGACCGGTTTGTACTCGGCAGCGACAGCTGGACCCGGTCGCGGGGTACTTGATCGGTCACTGTCCCTAGACCGTGAACGCTCACGACCCCGGTTCTCCGGTCGAGTAGACACTACCGGGCCCGCCGAGGGCAGCGGTGGTCTGTGGTCGCGATCACGGCTTTTGCGGTGGCGCAGGCGCGTGAGCCCCTGCTCCACTTGGCGGACACTGGTGAGAATCTCTTCCGCGGACGCTTCCTCCGCACTAATGTTCCGATCCAACGTGAGGATACGGAACATGTCGACGGGGAGCCCATCGACTAGCCGGCGACGGATAGTATAATTGTCCGGTGGCTCTACCATGCGAGATGCATGCAGCATCAGTTCGGCATAGAATGACTCTATGCCGTCCTGAGCGCGGTATCGGCATTTCTCGAACTCTAGGGTAGCTTTAGCTGCTGAACTAGAGTGCACAAATCGACGGTGCATGGCGCAGATAGTCTCTTCAAACGTAGGTTGGTAACCCAGAGATGGGTTATCAATGCACACGGTGAACCAGTCTACCGCCTTGCCCGTCAAATAGGTGCGCAGGTAAAATACACGGTACCTATCGGTTTCGGGCCCGCACACGTTGTAGGCCCGTAACCAGGTAAGGTATCCGTCCAACCAGTTGTAAAACACATTGTGATCATCGGCCCCGTCGTATTTCGCGGGGGGGTCGATTTTCGGATACTTCATACCCGGCGGTAGCGATGGAGACACCCATCCGGTTTTATACCGGATGTTGTCACATAAGTGGACGAGCATGACTTCACAATGCCCGTCCGAGTCCACCAAGTGGCCCACAACTTCAGTCGCACCCGGGTTCAGTCGTCCCACCACAGAGAGTGGTACGATGGGGTCCCGGTCGGTGTAGTTGTGGGTAACAGGTGGGTAGGATGAGAACGCCCTCGACGGGGGCGCGGTCTGGGGCAAGCGGAATGCCTTGGGTTTACTGGACAGTGGTATCGTTGGTATGACCGGCTGTCGCCCACTATGCTGAGAGGACCCCGCGGTGTATCCTTGGGATCCACCCCGGTCGTCTCTAGCAAAGCGGACGTGTTCCAAAGACAACGGCACGCGGTCGAACCCTATAGGGTGCGCCCTCGGAGGCTGTTGTGCCTGGAAGGGAGCATATCCCGACGATGCTTCACCATGCCGTGGTGGACCCGAGGCTCCGGAACCAGTCCCAGGCACTTGAGTAGTATCCTGGGGCGGTCCTGAGCGCGGCGGGGCGCTTCGTGGGCCTTGTCGGCTCATGTGTGGCGGGGTGTCCCTCTGGTTCTGCCATGGGCCCTCGTGCGAGGAGGCTGGCTGATAGCCCGGGTCGTCACCCTCTAGTGGATCGTTCTGGGGGCCCGGGGAAGAGTATCCATAGTCCGGGACATGTGACTGTCCAGGACTATGGGTATGCTCATGCACCTCCGGGGCAGACTCAAGAAGCAGCGCTGAACGTGGGATGGGCTGCGGCGTGGACGAAGACAGAGGAACGGCGGATTCGAGCAACAACTTAGTCGCCGCGAATCCTCGCTCTACTTCGTCCAGCATCTTATTATTGTCCCCCACAATGCGGTTCACCCTAGACCGCATGGCATTCACTTCCGCTACGAATTCTTGAATCACGGATTGCCCACGGCCGGCCATAACGTCCACCCCTTGGACTTGATTTTCCATCACCTGAGTACCCTGTCGCAGTCTCTGCCGCAGGGACTCTTGCTGCCGGATGACGCGCATAGATTGTTCTGCGAATGGATCTTGGAAGCTCGTAGCCAGGGCAGAGTGAACCGAGGGTCCCCTCGGGTCACTACCCTGGACGACGGCTGGTCCATACAACGACTCAGCGTATCCGGTTGTGGGGCCTGACGAAGCAGGTTCCCCCGAGTAATGTTCATACTCGGCCTGTCGCCCCCGATTGGGATCACTGGAAATGCTAGGCGGCATTCCTGGGGCGTCCCACTGCGGCGGGCCTGACGGCGGCACCCTCGGGAGAGGGTGCTGCACTCCAGCTGGTCGTGGAACAGCCCTCGTTGATCGTGACGGACGGGGGTAACGGGCAGAAGGCGCAGAAGATGTCGACGACCGCGGGACCCCAGGCTGCGAAGCATGTGGACCCGTCGTGCCTTGTTCCGCAGAGTGTCCCCGCACTTGTAGCGGGTCGGACCCGGGGGGAGTGATGTCCTCCGCCGTGTCGTATCGCCCTAACTGGGCACGTCTGTCCGATGATGCGGCGAACACCATGTTGTCCCAATGAACACCACCCATGGGGGTGGGGCTCGGAGGAGACGACTGGTTTCCCGCACCGGAGACATTGGAGGCAGGACGACGTAGTCCCGCCCCGGGGTTTACGTCCTCCTGAGAAGATCTGGTATCTTCTCGGGAGCGCGTGCGATTGCCACGGACGGTGTGTTCCCCGTCCGAGTACGCTGTAGTAAAGCTCTGCGAGCTGGATCCGCCCGTGTGGGCTGATGATCCCGTGCTCGCGGGGTTCTGAGGATCAGCTTCGGTTCGGGAGCCCTCTGTTCTGCCAGGGTCCCGTCCATCAGATGGACGGGATCCCCGGTGGACATGGGCCCCATCCCCATCCTGTGATGGTGAGTGACGCACCGAACGATCCATCAGTTTTTGCAAGTATCGCTAGTCTTCTCCTTTGAGTAGACTTGAAGTGATCTCAAAAAAATGTAAGTAACTGTAGGCCGCCTTAGTCCGACCCGAGTGAGATGCACAGAGTCATGATAGAGGCGTAGTAGAATAGTAGATACAAGCAAGGGAGCGTCGCGTCCGAGTCATAGTCCGTGGTACTGTATAGTCCACCAGCCACACCCACGGGCGCCTAAGCGCCGGATCCCGACCGCGGCCCGGCCGCGGTCCCCAAGCCGTTACATGGGGTGCACCACTCATCGTTGCATAGGACATGTGTCCGGACAACTTGGTCGCTGCACATTCTCAACACGCTGCCGTCTACCAAACTGCAGTTTTGGATAGAATGTATATCATCGACTTCCATTCGTCACGCCAATTCACGCGCTGATGCGGCTCGTGTCCGTGAAGTCTACCCCCATTCGGGAACAATATCATCTGATGCTCGATGACCAAGGAAGGCGTGGACCTCGAGCTGGGTGGAAATATGCACCATCAGAGCGGCATGAGCGTTTCTGGCCCATGGCGATGCGCTCACTTCCCGAAAGCGAGGGCGCAAGTCAGAGCACTCCTTCGCACAACCGACGAACTTGGCTAGGTGAGAACAGCACCACAAACACCCCTCTTTTTCCGCTCTCCGCTTATCGATGATCTCCAGACGCATGTCCGTCTTCCTCGATTCAGCGCCGTCTTCCTCGCATAAAGGATGCGCCTCGTCTGGTACTCAAGAAACCACCCGGAAGACATGTCGTCGCACCGTCCTGCAACATCGCACTTCCTCAACTCCTCAAGTCCGCCACCTCTTCCAGTATCCGTAAGATGTTTCCGCTGTCTTGGTGGCCGTCACTCATTTCTCGACCGCAGATAACCAATCATGGCTCCCACTTGCCCTCCTGTCGTCGTCGATGGCTTGCTGCATCTCGCCCAGGAGCTGCACATCCTTCCTACCGCCTTATTCGAGGCGTCGCCAGCCAACCCCGCGCATGACCCCCTGTACATCGGCCTGACCGGTTGCCAGGTCAAGCTCATGAAGCGGAGCTACTCCGCCAGGGCTGGCATAACCGCATACAGGGTCTTCATTGTCCTTCCCACCGACATGCCCATGATGGGGCTCACCGTCTACGTCCACCATGCCGCAGAAAGCTGGAAGAATCGGCAGGCGATAGAGCTCGCTGTGAGATGCCTGGCGGCTACCGAAATCACCATTGAGAAAGCTAGCGTGGATGTGGCCCAATGGCCGAACAGTGTGTGTCGTGCATACGGTGTCGTTCTGGTATACGGCGCTAACGCTCGAGGTCTGTACAGTGGTTGCGTTCTAGTCCATTCGATCCAGCAGCTGTTGTAGCCAAATACTGTTACGAACCGTTTAACCGCCGTGACCGTTTTGCATAACGAACCGTCAAGGTTCGTCATGTGTTACGAAGCACCGGGAGAGCTCCGGGAGCTGCCTAATAAGGCAGGCAGCCCCGGGGGAGGCCTGTTATCTCCCTAGAGATAACAGATGCCCCTAATCTGGGCAGATAAGGGCCTAATCTCATTGATTAGGCCCTTCCCCTTATCTCCCGCGCCCCCCGGGCTTCCCGGTAGCCTCGGGCTCCCGGCGGCTATTCCTCCCTCTGACCACCATACCCAGGTAGGTGATTTGCTCATATCTCCTTTATTTCTGGTCCGTTTTGGCTCATTCTGGGCGCGTTCTGAACGCATTTTTAGGGCGAACAAGACGTCGCAAACGCGCCGCTTATCAGGTGCGCGTTCCATGCGCTACCCAAGTACTAACCGGCCCCCTTGTGCGCAGTAATCGGGCGATATCTCGCCCATATGTTGTCGCGGCGCCACGCAAGGAATACCCCCAGGATCGGGCTCACCACGCGGTTCGAACGAGCCCTCGCGCGCGCAAATCCGTCCAGCGGTTGCGACGCGATGCCTGCCCCACCTCAGGGGCAGGCCTGTACCATCCAACTCGACCAACTGTGGGTGTATTCCCTTCTGTAAGGGCTCGTTTTGTAGCTAACATATACTACATGTAGGGCGACGCATTCGCAAGGCCGCACATGGCGGTGATTCAGTCAGGGAGGGCGAGCAGTGCTCAGCCACTGCAGCACTCCCTGGCTGATATCTCCACCAATTATCCGCCGATTCCGACGGTTCATACACCGTCGGAAAGCTGTCAAATGCAGCTATCCGTAGATGTAT